GCCGATGGCAGTGAGTACCAAATCCTAATTACTGGACTGCCAGGAAATTCCCCGTTATGTGTATGTTGCAAAGATCACTCTGGCTCTAATACAGAGTTTGGTGGACAGTGGTGGAGGCAGAAAGCCACGCAGGCTTTTGCAGTAGTTGTTGTCGACAGAGGTAGTGGTGGTGTAAGCAGAGAGCTATTTAGGAAGCTTGCTCATAGATTTATTGCTGGAGGGAAGGAAGAAGGCGGTTCCTGATTTTGCTATCTGGATAGATAATCATGCTGTTCCTCAAAATAGGAAACTCTGGGAGATCATGTTTGGGGAGGAAATCCTGATCTTTAAGTGGAATTTGATCTTCTGTTGAGACATTCAAAACCCATACTGAGGAAGTCACTAGCAGAGAGTAAGTTAAGCAATGGTTGGAATAAGGTCACTTAGGGAGGGTTACTGTAAGAAGAAAAGGGAGTTTAGGAATTCGCTTTGAGTAACTCTGATACTTCAAGAGAAGTTAGAAAAGGATGAGCCAGCGGGGAATATGGTGAGCATTGGTTGTAGCTGCTGAATAATCTTAACAAGATGTTCTTTAAAAAATCATTGGATTCAACAACTTGGAGGTTACTGATGGCCATAGTAAAAGTCACCTGCGAGGAGTGTTGGGGCAGAAACACGTTCTGAAATAGACGGGGGTGAGCGAGAGATGAGAAACAGATGGCAGTTATAAACAAGGCATCCGGCTCCTGGAGAGGGAGGAAGTGGGGAGGTCAAATAAAGGGAGAGGGGTGTTACTGGTGTATGATTAAAAAAAAACCCTTATTTAGGGACTTCCCTGGTGGTCCCTGGTGGGTTAAGATTCCAAGATTCCTTTGCAGGGGTTGTAGGTTTGATCCCCATTGAGGGAACTAAGATTTGCACATGCTGCCTGGAGCAGCCAAAAATATAAAAACAAACCCACCTTATTTATTGTGCAAATATATCATGATAAATAGCACAAAAATATGGATCACTGAATTTTTACACATTGTAAATCTGTGAGCCATAACTAAGGTAGAAAATAGAATGTTGCTACCTAATTGCCTAGTGATTCTGAATTTCATATAAAGAGAATCGTTCAGTGTATAGGTTTTTGTGTCTGGCTTCTTTTGCTTATTATGTCTGTGAGGTTCATCCATATTATGGTATATGGTACTAGGTAATTTTTTTCTTGTGCTGAGTAGTGTTGTATTATACATTGTATCTGCGTACCACTGTGCTTGTCGTTTCTCCTCTTGATGGACTTTGGGTTGATTTCAGCTGTAATTGGGTTGATTGCAGTAATATTGTGGTAGGTATTCTTGTCTCTTGGTGTATCTGTGCTGAGGCTTCTAATGAGTTTATACCTAGAGTGGAACTACTTGGTCAAAGGGCATGGGATCTTCAACCTGAGTATATATTGTCTATTTTCCCAAGTGGTTATACTGATTTATATTTACTAGCACTAAATAAGCAGCCTCTTCACTCCGTATCCTGCCAACTCTTGGTTTTGTCATTGTGGTTTTAATTAACACTTCCTTGATTACAAATGAGGTTGAGCCACTTTTCATGTTCACTGATGATTGATTTGAATATCCTATTTTTGAAGTGTTTTTTTATGTCTTCTGCCTATTTTTCTAATGACCTGCCTTTTTCATACTGATTTTTAATTTGTACATGACTTAGCAACTATATGTATGTATGTATGTGAATTAGACAAATCCTTGTGGGGTTATAATTGTTTCTTCTCCCAGGCCCTGGCTTGACTTTTCACTCTCCCAGTCAGGGTGGCTCATGAGAAACAGAAATTCTCCGTTTTAATGTAATAAATTTAATGTATTAGAATTTGCTAGTTTTTTTTACTAGGAATTTTTTGTGTCCTGTTGTGAAGTTTTTTCCCTGTACCATAATCATGAAAATACATTTCTACAGTGTTCCTCTAGTGTTTTGTTGATTTTAGCTTTGCCATTTATATCTAAAATTCACTGGTATTGATTTATTTGAAAAATTTTAAAAGATTTGAGATACTTTACCATGTTTAAATACTCATTGGGAGTATACAGTACGTGGAAGGAATGGGAGATACAGGAAAGGAAGGATTAAAAGAAGAGCCCTGAGAAGATGAGTGAGAATGGGATCCAAAGCAGAGTGATTTACATTACTTTTGTTTGTTTGGAAAAATTCTATTCATCTTTTAAAACCCTAGGTCATTGAGGCTCTGTGAAGTCTCTCTTGGTACTCCAACTTCATCATCTCTCCATGACGTTAGTCACCTCTGCCCTAGCACCTACATTTATTGTTGCCTTTTTCATGTTGTTTTAGAACCATCCGCTTATACATCTGTCTCCCTCGTCAGACTGGAGGTTTCTCACTTTAAACATTATTGGAGTATAATTGCTTTGCAGTGTTGTGTCAGTTTCTGCTGTATAACGCAGTGAATTAGCGATATGTCGACACGTACCCCCTCCCTCTTGAACTTCCTGCCCACACCCCCCCTCTCTCCACCAACCCACCCTTCTAGGTCATCACGGAGCACCCAGCTGAGCTCCGTGTGGTATACTGCAGTTTCCACTAGCTGTTTTACACATGGTCATGTATTTATGGGCTTCACTTGTGGCTCAGCTGGTAAAGGATCCGCTTGCAATGCGGGAGACCTGGCTTCCATCCTGGGGTTGGAAAGATCCCCTGGAGAAGGGAAAGGCTACCTCAGGATTCTGGCCTGGAGAATTCCACGGACTGTATAGGTATAGTCTGTGGGGTCGCAAAGAGTCCTAATCTCCTAATTCATGCCACCCTCCCCTCCCCCTCGAAGAGTGATTTACTTTAGACAAAAGGAAAGACAATTGTGTGTCATAGAGTGGAATGAGAAGAGAGTGAGTGGTACAGATGCATGTAGGTCTTTGGCAACAGAAAGTTTCTGGATTCCTTGTGTAGTATATGAGACACATTATCTGCTGAGTAAGGAGAGATTGGGTGGAGTCAGGGCTTGGAGAACACTTTAAGAAAGCCATTGAAATTGTAAAAGAAGTTTCAGAAAATTGAGTACATTTGTTGTGCAGTTTTGAAGGCTCAGTTGAGGTTTGTGGAGATAATTTATAGTGGTGACAATTGTGTCTCATTGTGTGATTTTCTCTAGTGATTCTTGGTTGCTGTGGAGTATACTAGGGTGGTGGACTGGTTGGTTTCATCTCGGATTGAGGTTTTGCTGGTTGGGTGCCATGCAGAGATCTCACAAAGGGATAAGAGAATGTGGATGACTGGCAGAAGTTACTGAGATGGCTGATCAAGGACCGCCAAGGCTGGAGGAGACTAAGTATACAAGAGGGGCCTGAAGAGGAGGGAGAAGGCAGGGTCTCAGTGGGTTGGAGGTCCTAATGAAGTCAGAGAGCGAATCACAAAGCAAATAGTTGAGCACGCTTGCTGGAAGATAAGGTTGTGATCTGAGAAGAAAAGACTTGATTAGTGATGTTTTGAGGTGTAATAGTTTTGTTCAGTAAGGATATAGTGTATAATACTGATAACAAATGCTTAATATTCACTGATGTGAACTGGAAAAGTTGATTAGAAAAGTACACATAATTCTTTTATTGTGGACCGTATGTCCAGTGTGTTCAGATGTATCAGGATTTACTATCCCCTGTAAGTAAAGGAACATAATTTTTCTTCCATTGCTAAATTTATACATATTAGAATTCTAGATGGTTACACATCATATTTGTATTTAGTTAATTTTGGTAAAATATTTTACTTTGATTTGCCTTTATAGGTGGTTGTGTTCTTGATATTGGTATTTCCTGGGTATCTAGTGAGAATTTGATTTTTATTTTAAAACGTTTTAAATTTTTTTAATGTAGCATGATTTTATGACAAGAGTAATCATATCGGCACAGTGCTTCTTGTGCCAACTTACACAAGCCCTCTAGCTCTTTGCAGAGACCTTTACTTCATCTTTTTTTGGCCCTACCATGTGGCACATGGGATCTTGGTTCCCTGACCAGGGATCCAACCCACGCCCCCTGCACTGAGAGCACAGAATCTTAACCACTGGACCTCCAGGGAAGTTCCCCCACTCCTCCCCGTCTTGCATCTTGCTCTTCCGCATCCTCTGCCTGTAGATTCTCGGAGTCCAGATACCGCCTGTGAGCCCACACAGCTTATGTTGCCTGCCTCTGCTGGGCGGCTGCCCTGCTGTCCTGCACCCCCGCTGGTGCTTCCCCTGGCTACTTCTGTCACCCGCAGGTTCTGTGGTCTGCTCTTCATGAGTGACGGAGTGATACTTGGTACTGGTGCCCTCCTGAGAGAGTTTGATTTTTAAAACCTACTCGTGCTGATAATTATAGGTACTGTTCCCTGGTAGCTCAGTGGTAAAGAATCCGCCTGCCGATACAGGAGACGCTGCTTCTATCTCTGATCCAGGAAGATCTCCTGGAGAAGGAAATGGCAGTCCACTCCAGTATTCCTGCCTGGAAAATCCTATAGACAGAGGATCCTGGCTGGCTATACAATAGTCCATGGGGTCATAAAAGAGAAACAACTTAGCAACAAAACAACGACAAACAAAAAAAAACCTACTAGTTTTGTGATTTCAGCTTTCTGTTCACTTTCCTTTAAATGTCTTCCAAAACTTCACAATTTTTAAAGAAGATATTTATTTGGTTGGGTCAGATCTTAGTTGTGACACCCGGGATCTTCCTTGCGTCCTGTGGGGCCTTTCGTTGAGTCGGTCTCTCTAGTTGTGGTGTTTGGGCTTAGTAGTTGTGCTGCTCAGGCTTGATTGCCCTGCAGCGGGTGGGATCTTAGGTCCCTGACCAGGGATTGAACCCATGGTCTCCTGCATTGCAGGGCAGATTGTTAACCACTGGACCACCAGGGAAGTCCCGAAACTTCTGAACTTTTTATTGAAAAATAATTGAAGCAGTCGTTATGCCAATAGCATTAAAAGAGAGTCATTTTTGTTGATTAAAAAAAAAAATTTCCTCTTCTGTTATTTAATTCTAATGCAGATACATCAAGAAATCTGGAATTTCATGAAATTCATAGCACAGGGAATGAGCCGCCTTTGCTGATTATGATTGGCTACAGTGATGGAATGCAGGTCTGGAGCATCCCTGTAAGTATGAAGATGCCGAGTCCCTGAAATATAAACCTTTGCAGCATGCTAGCTGGTGGCCATATTTTTTCTATGGATTCCTCCATTTATTTTGCAAGCAGTTGCGCAGAGACTGCTTTGTGTGGAACCCCATAGGAGGCCCAAAGAGTAAAGGGCAAGTGGGAACTGAACCATGTGGTAAATGGTTTGTAAAGTAGGCCAGAAATTGTGGGGATCACTTTACATGAAAGATCTCACTTCTCATCATGGTAACCCTACGAAGTAGGTATTGTTACTCTCTTTTCCTGCAATTTTTACAAAAGAGTAAAGAGTCTAACCCCTGGAGAAGGAAATGGCAACTCACTCCAGTATTCTTGCCTGGAAAATCCCTTGGACAGAGGAGCGTGGCAGGCTACAGTCCATGGGGTCGCAGAGTTAGACACGACTTAATAACTAAACAACAACAAAGAAACTTCTAGAAAGCTTAAAAAAATTAATGATTATTAAATAATAAAACGTTTTGAGTCAGTTAAAACATCCACATGGTACAAAATTCAAGAGGCCTAAGTGGGTAACACCTCCCTACCTCTGTTGTCCTCAGTTCCCCTTATCTTGAGTAGTTTCTAATTTCCTGGGATTTCTAGTTTCTTACGTATCCTGATTTTTTAGGTAAATAAGAACCTATATATTTCTCACACCCTGCCCTTCCTTAACAGAAGGGAACATACTATACAGCTGCCTGTACTTTGCTATTTTTTACTTATGAATTAGTATTCCAAGAGCTTCTCTATGGGATATATAACCATATACAATTCTCTTATTTGGACTTTCCTTAATTTATATAACTTGTTTCCAATTATTGGAAACACTTGAGTGCACCCTCCCCTCCCCTTTTCTGATACTAGAAACACTGATATAATACATGAGCTTGAACTGAGGTCATTTTGTGTCTGTGTGTCTGTTTAGGATAAATCACAGTTTTGATAAATGTTTTAAATTGCCTAATACTGGTCCCAGTTTCCATCTTCAGTCCTACATGTGCTTCTCTGGGATGACCAAAAGTAAATGTACTAGAAGAGGAAGAAGCTTGGTGGGATCACAGCTCAGTAAAGTGTAGCTGGGACTACATACTTTGGCTTATACTTAGCTATATTCTGGTGTTTGGCATGGCCTAGATAGCATGTCTTTCCTGTAGATTGGGGTGGAAGGCCTAGTTGGCCAGTGGAACATCTATTGTGTAGTTTGTGTTTTTTTTTTTGCCGTTGGAGACCTGGGGCCAATATCTGTGCCTTTAATAAATGCGTTTACTACATTGTTTGAAGCCTGTTTTGCATGGGTGGTTCAGCTAGAATTTTTTTCTCTCCCCTTTCTGGTTCTTTTGGGTATTATGGTTACTTTTTAAAAGATTTATAAGCAAATATATATTGCCTCAAATTTAATGAAATGCTTGATGTTCTTGAGTACAGAATTTGGCTTAAGGATTATTGAGTAATGAGTACATTGATCTTCATAATTCTTAAACATTTTAAGAAAAATATTGTTTATTCTTATATTCTGTAAATCACTTATAATGAACTATAGTCTTCCTTCTAATCTTATAGGGGGCTTCCCTGGTGGCTCAGTTGGTAAAGAATCTGCCTGTAATGCAGGAGACCCAGGTTCGATTCTTGGGTTGGGAAGATCCCCTGGAGAAGGGATTGGCAGCCCATTCCTGTATTCTTGCTTGGAGAATTCGATGGACAGAGGAGCCTGGCAGGCTGTATAGTCCATGGGGTTGCAAAGAGTTGGGTACGACTGAGCGACTAACACACAGACACATACATGCGCTAATCTTATAATAATTATGTATCATATTATTAAATATTTAGGATTTGAGGCTTTATATGTCTTAAAGATTGGCTTTATTTTGCAGAGATAGAAGAATCCTGTTGCTATGTCATGGATCGAGTGAACCTGTTTTTTTGCCTTTGGGGATGTGTAGTTGACATTTTTTCAAGACCTTGCAATGTTGTTCGTAATTGAAGTATCATGCCAAAGGCATAGACAAAGGACCTAAAATGTAACAGTGTTTTGTTTGTTTGCTTTTTCCTAACAAGAGAAATAATTCTGGGTTGTGTTCAGAGGAGAGGATTTTGTAAATGTAACCTTTTCTTTATTTCGATTCTTAAAAAATTTTATTTTTTATTGATTGAGTGATAGGAGTATAGTTGCTTTGTAATGCTGTGTCATTGTCTACTGCACAGCAAAGTGAATCAGCCATATGTATGTAAATGTATGTATATCTTCTTTCTTGGCTTCCCTTCCCGTTTAGGTCACCACCATTTTGATTCTTTACACTGTTGACAGACTTGAAGGCAAAGAGGAAGCTAGAGCTTTAACAGGGTTGAGCTTTGTGGGATTAGGGGTGTTGACCAGATTGAGCACATTCCTTTGGTGGTACTCAGGCCGCCCACTTGCTTTGGTTATAATTAGAGGTATCGCTGTTAATAGTTGACTTACTCTAGTTCTGAGTGACTTAAAGGTCTTCTGAGTAATTTTAATTACTTCTTTAAGTAATTCTTGTGCCCAGACTGTATTCTGAGAGAACTGAATAGTCTTTCTTCATGGAAGTTTCGTTGACTGTCGGCTGTTTACCGTTGTAGGAGTATAGCCCGTGAGGACTGGTTCAGGGACTGGGAGGCAGTTTGGGAAGTAAGCTCCTTCTGTTTCCCCGGTGGAGCTCTTGCTGTGTTCAGAGTGCTTTATATACACATCGTCTCATGTGTTGTATACTGTGAGGGAGAAGTTATCCATTTTACAGGTGGTAAGGTCACACTACTTATAAGAGGAGGAATTGCAATGCAAGCCCAGTTCTGTCTGACTTCACATTCCAAGCCCGCCATCTAAGGACTCTATTTCCTCTCTGCCGTAGGAGAAGATACGCCACGCAAGTGGTGTGGCAGCTTAGTGTTAGTTGTCAGTGTAAAAGGTTATGGTGTGTCTTCATATATTCATCCTTAGAGACTAGTGTGAGTTACCTATTACTCTAACTAAACCCTTCTGAAACTTGTTTATCACTAGTTAACCATTCAATAATCATTTAAGTGTTACCATGTGCTAGACCGAGGAGCTTATGTCGGTCAGTCTAGAAATAAACCTGCTTCTAAGGAACCTTTGCAGACTGTAAATCATATTTGCTTTTGAGTTAAGTGAGGGTGGGCAGAAAGTCAATCCTTGCTGAATTTCAGCTTGGTTTTTGCTTCAAGTTTGTGCCCAAGGTTGATTTTATATAATTGTCCCACCTCTGAGTCTCAGGTTAAGAAAATAAACATCCTGGCTAAACATTAAAAAAAAATTGTTTATGAAGTTTGTTGTTCTTGTTCGTCCACTAAGTCTTGTCTGACTCTTGGCGATCCCATGGACTGTAGCAAGCCAGGCTCCTCTGTCCAGTGCTATCTCCCAGAGTTTGCCCAAATTCATGTCCACTGAGTTAATGATGCTTTCTAACCCTTCTCTTCCTCTGATGCTCTCTTCTCATTTTGCCTTCAACCTTTCCCAGCATTAGAATCTTTTCCAGTGAGTCAGATCTTTTCCAGTGAATTGGCTCTTTGCAACAGGTGGCCAAAGTATTGGGGCTTCATCTTCAGCAACAGTCCTACCAATGAATATTCAGGGTTGATTTCCTTTAGAATTGACTGGTTTGATCTCCTCTCAGTCCAAGGGACTCTCAAGAGTCTTTTCTCCAGCACCACAATTCAAAAGCATCAATTCAAATCAGCCTTTTTTATGAAATGCACAAATGCACTTGAGGCTTAGATGGTATCTCAGAATCTAGCTAAGGAGAGTTAGCTTAAAACTGTGCAGAAGGAGCATCTCTACTGCCCAGTTCCTACCACTTTGTGTGTGAGATGTCTGCAGGAAACAGCAGTATTCAGAGCTTTCCCAAGCTGTCAGGCACCTCTGTCAACACGACTGATGTAACGTGAGAAAGAATGATTATTTATGTTGTTGTTCTGGATAAATAGGTCCCTTTCCTACTCATGCCTAGCAGTGTCATTACCTCTTTTTGATAATGTGAATATTGGTGCTCTTGCTTAAAATTCTTTTTTAAAAAACTTATTTTATTTTACTTTTGGCCATGGTGTGTGGCTTGTGGGATCTTAGTTCCCCAATCAGGGTTTCAATGTGGGCCCTTGGCAGTGAGAGAACACAGTTCTAACCACTGGCCTGCCAGGGAATTCCTTTAAAATTCTTTTTAAAATTATTGTTATTATTTAAAATTTTTAAAAAATTTATACTTTTTATTTGAAGGGTAATTGCTTTACAGAATTGTTATTTTCTGTCAAACATTGACGTGAATCAGTCATAGGGATACATATGTTTCCTCGCTCCTGAGCCCCCCTCCCATCCCACCCCTCTAGGTGGTTACAGAGCCCCTGTTTGAGTTCCCTGAGACACACAGCAGATTCCCATTAGCTGTCTGTTTTACATATGGTAATGTAAGTTAATTAAAAAGTCAGCAGTACATGGACTAAAGACCCAATAGATTTATGGGATTTATATGAAAAGAACAGTAGTTCTGTACTTTTCCTTTAACTCTCATAATTCTTTTAGCTCTTGTTATCTTAGTTATTTATTTATTTCAGTTATTCTAAAATATATTGCTTGCATTTTTGATATATGTATATATATTCTTGATATATATATATATATATTTTTTTTTTTTTCCAGCCAGTCTTACACATAGATTGACTGGGTACCCTGAGGTATGAGAACTTAATAAGTGTTCATTTATTCAACACAAGTCTGTAATAAAGTACGTATTTTGAGCAAAATAGAGTCTTTTCTCTAATGGAGCTAGTAGAAGAACTGGATTTAAATAAAAATAAATGAAGACAAATTGTAATATGAAGAAAAAAGAGATTATAATAAGGAAGTGGAACGGAAGTAATTAAATTTAGCCACAGTATGATTGGAACAGCAGATAGTAAAGTCAGAGGTTCTGAGGTGGAAATGTTCTTTTCTCTATAGTTGGACATTGA